ACTAGATAGAAAGGAAATTAAGCCTCTACAACTACACTCTTTAATACATACTATTACATACAATTTTATACTATATATAAAGTCACTTCTATTATACCTTAAGAATCCCTATTATCTTATGCTTAGTAATCAACTAGATTACATAAGCTCTATCTATTATATCTATTATATTATAAAGGGTCCCTCAATTGGCCGACATAGTTACCCTAGACCTTTCTAGAGTTAAAACAGCTCTAAGGTATATTAATATATATAACGCTTAAATATGTCATGGTCTGAGCTATGCTCGACCTTAATGGAAGCGCAGCAATGGATGCCACTGCACTGCAATGCGCGAGCACTGCAATGCGCGATAGAGGGACAAGCCCGTGCAGGACCTATATAGTGCCAGATTGAGCAAGCTAGGGCAGCTTGTTCAATACGTACCCTTTTGACTTAACGGTCAAGGGGTCCGGCAAACCACCGGGATGACTGCGGCTGGCACCCGCTATGGCCCAATAGGGCTGGTCTATTACAAAATAAAGCAGGCTTATAAAGAAGGAAAATTTAATATAAAATATCTAAAAACCTTAGAAATACCTACTAATAGCTTTATAAAACTTCTTATAAAGCAAAAATTCTATAATTTTAAATAACAACTAGGCCTATTTAATATTAAAGGCTTTATTCTAGCTAAAGAAGCTATTAAAAATTTAATAAATTAGCTATATAAGCTATATCTACTTTTTTATCTATTTATTATCTATTTTTTTACTTATTTTATCTATCTTTATTACTTATTATTTTATCTTTTATTTATATTTTCTACTTATTATAACTTACCTAGCTATATTTAATATATAGCTAAGAGGGTATATTAGCAGTAGATACTGCTTACTACAAAAAATATATATAAAAACAAGAGAAACAACTATAGCATATAAATTACCTATAAGAAATATTTATATATACTTTATATATAAGAATTTAATATACTTTACGCTTATATTTCTTAGTATATATAATTAAAGTTAAGAGAGAAATACTAGCTAAAATTTAATAAAAAGACTAATAAGCTATAAAGGCTAATTTACTCTATAGAAGGAAAACAGCTATAAGAGTTATTTTTAGCTACTAAGGTTATTTTAAGCTACTATCTATACTTAATTTAGCAGCTCTACTATAGAATTTAGATTTACCTATTAATAACTCTTCTTCCCTCTAACTAAATAAAGAGGAAATTAAGCCTTTATAACTACACTCTTTAATATATACTATTATATATAATTTTATACTATATCTAAAGTTACTTCTATTATACCTTAAGAATCCCTATTATTTTATATTTAGTAATTAACTAGATTATATAAGCTCTATCTATTATCTATTATATTATAAAGGGTCCCTCAATTGGCCGACATTAGAACTGCTATTATACCCGCTGTAGTTAAGTGATCGATTCAATCCCTTGCAGCTTGGCGCAGAGACTAAGTAGAAACGTGCACAGCGACTACTTCTACTACTTAGCGGGTACAGATTTACGCGGATGATTGGCATCTTAACCTTAGTAGATATTTATATTAACACAGTAAAAGAGAAAGTTTGAAAAGTTAAGTACAGGTTATGCAGTTTCTGGACTCCTTTCTCCCCCATATATCACGTAACACTGCCGGTGAGACCAAAACCACTCCAACCTGCCGACGGCAAATAGGCGAATTTCGCCGATGAAGCCTGACTCAAACTTTGAGGACGAGGTTGCAATATCAGAAACATAAGGATATCTGCCATCATGCCTCCTGAAACCTAAAACTACAGTCTCCTTCTCACTAATATTCAGCGTTTGGCCTAATGAGTCCAGGCGAACTTCACCAACACTGTCCCGATGTCCATCTGCGAAATGCAATAACAGGCCATCTACGGCCTTGTCGCCTTTCGTTCTACAAGGGGCAATGAATACTAAACCTGTAAGGTCTAACGAATTGTAGAAGTAATCTTCTTGATTTGTGATTATAGAATGAGGTGAAGATGTGGGTTGCTGGAAATGTTGGCCAAATTTCGTCTGAAATTGATTTTCAAAAGCTAGTATATTAATTAGGCCGTCGATAGTCCCGTAGAAACTGCGACTAGGTGTCCGAACTGGTTGGTCTACAAGAGCCCATTGCCTTGAAGATCTTCTTGAGTAAATGCCCGCTAAAAAAACGCGGTCCTTGTTAGTTTTGATCTAAACAATTGTCATGTCAGTTCCTTGTAGATTGGGATTTGCAGGTGGTCAAACTAACTCCTATGGCGCTATCTCGTCCTATCCAGCCAGAGCCTGTGTAAATTTCGGTGATAAGCTCTCCTTGATCTACTGGCATATATAGCCAACGTGCATTTGGCATTAACTGATAAAAAGACAGGTCCTCACTATCTTTATGGACATGAATCATGGCTATTTGATAGTTCCATAGAATAGAGTAGCCAGTTATCAGCGGATCGTTACAAGAGAATGCTACCATGCGACTGGCGTCACCTCTGTATCTTAGGTTGATATATTCAAATCGAATTCGCTCTATTGGGGGCACGCTCCATGCTACCGGATTCTGGCCAACAACGCTTAGGCCACGGAGTTTGATGCCCTTAAAAAGCTATTAGTAGAGCCTAAGGAACTTGAAAGAGTTATACTCACATCCGATTCACCAAGAATTGTGAGATTCCTCTCAGAGAGGTCGAAGGTTCGCCACCACGTATTGGGAATACATCCGAACACGGGCAAGTCGTCCGAATTAGAGAAAAGTGCTTTTGTAAGACCGAGGTGGCTCTCCCGTGTATATAAACGGTCAGGTAACTTCGTTGATGGACGGAATAGAAGTGCTGGGTGTTGTTGGCTTTTAAAATTCGACAGGGATGAGATGTACTCCTCCCCCTCAAAATGAACATGATTGCACCATATCGTGCGGTCCAGCGTTATACGACATTGCTCAGGGGGTTTCCACAAACTGCGAGCAAGGGTCGTAGCATAATATGACAGTAGTTGTTCGGCTATTAGACGACAAATCTCTGGCGGAAGTCGCCCAACATGGGTTTTGCGGTCTGGGATGGCAATGCCAGCCTGGAGCTTGGAGCTCAAGGAATCCAGCATCCAGTTTCGGCGCCGATGTTTCTCTCCCGTGGTGCTTTGAAAGGTATGTCTGGTCGCCTTCACTAGTCGCTCCGAACACTCAAGTTCAGCAATGCGAAGGCACTCTGGATGGCAGCTGATTGCAAGTCCGCCAGCATGATCGCAAGGCAGTCCACCACACAAGCTTTTAGCCATGATTCGCTTCCAATTTCTGAAATTGTCTGGAAGGGAAGTCAACACGCGAGATTCTCGGCGAGAGCAAGAATGATAAAGCGTACAGACCGCTACTTCCTCACCATAAGCAACATCGAGTTGACATAGTCCGCATTGGGACGTGATGCAAATCGGCGCAGTCATCTAAAGACAATGATATATATCAGAGCAAAGTAAATGTATAGCCAACTTGGACAAGGGTACGGGCGAACTCCACATAGCAACCACCTAAAGGTTAGATTGTGCGAGGCGGAAGAACAGATTAGTACGGAGTAAATACCAAGATTTGAACTAATATTGGGTTGTTTGGGTGGGGCCCGCCTAAGGTCCGGGAGCTAACAGGCCTATGGGTAGCCGTGGCTCTATTATTATGTGGGCCTGGTCCCTGTGCACTATATACAGTGTTTATGTACTTTATGTTGAGGAGCCCGGAAGCCGTCAACTGCCAGCACTGGAGCCGGCCGCTACAGAGCACACTTGCCGCAGGTAAATTGGCGCTTGGGGGGGCACTGGGGGCGCCCAGTTCAGTTCAAGTTCAGTCAGCTCCGTCGTCTCTCTCACCAGACTTCATCCATCCGCTGCTGCGTCTTTGTTCCCGAGACTTGCCGTTGTCATGAGCAGAGCAGAGCAGGGCATCGTCAACCGTGTATTGCCCAGGCACCGTCAACTGGCTTCACTATCCAACTATCCAATGCTCCATCCTCCGCACTTCTCTGTCTTTGTCAAGCTCGACTCCTCCCCTCAGGCTGCCACGTCTCTCCAACGGCTTCGAAACAACCGTCCGATTATCTCTCCGTTATAATCCCAGCTGCGGCCCCCCATGCACCCTGCGCCCACTCTTTGTTGTTTCATCTCGCATTTGGCAAATTTTTATCGACAAAACGCCAGATCCCCAGATCGCAATACCGCAAGAATCCCTGGCATCCGACACATCAAGTCAGCCTGTGTCCCCAATGACTCGCTTTTTTTTTCTTCTCCAACCAATGCAACTGCTACTACTATTATAGGGAGTGAATCCCGCCTTGGGCCCTGCTCTTGGGTGAGGTAGATGAGGCTTGTTGCTTGTCCAGCTTTTGCTTTGCAACAGGTTCCAGAATCCATCCTGGGAGGCCCTACCACAGATCGTTCAGTCAACGGCCATCTAACTGAATACTTAAGTATTTAACAAGTCACCTAGGCACTTATTTGAGCGGGTGCCTCGTGCGACAGCTACGTGAATACAGAACCTGCTTGTGCCATGTGCATGGAAAGGATAACAAAGTGACATGTCAACTGCGGAGAATCAAAATAGACGCTATTCCCGCTTCTACTACCCCGTAGCGCATATCTCTTCTGTTTATTATTTCTGGCCAGTCTTGATTTCCCTGCCTAGCCATTACTTGGCCACCTCGAATCCGCGTTGCTTACCGCGACTCGCCTCATCTCTCGAGAAACACACTACAGCCCGCAGAGGTAAAACGCAAAAAGGCTTGGCCTTGCCTTGCCGTGCCGTGCCATGCCTGTTGAAAACCAGAACCGGGTAGTGTGTCGGGAAACGCACGTGCCAAACGTATGGCACGTGGATTGAATTCTGATTTCCTGTGTCGTAGAACACTGTGTGCTGTATTGTTGTACATACACGGACGTAACGCGTAGAATCATCTTAATCATTTTCGTCAGCAAATGCAGTGCTGGTTTCGTCCAAAGCCACTGACTCTTGATGCACCTGTTACACGACATTCATGATTTGCATCCCTTTGTCCAGTTCAGCCCTCACCGTCTCAACATTGGCCATGCCCTTCAGCAACACATCTCGCCACCAGGTGTACCACTCGGCTACTTCTTGAAGATCTGCCTCGCCAAGAGCTAGCCACTCCTGTAATTTGTCGTACCACATTGGGAAGACGTCTTGTACAAGCACCTCGGCAATGATGGCGTCGCCAAGCATACGGTTCCACCGCATCACACCCGTGAGGATGGGCAGGTAAACCTCTTGCTCTGCCGGGTCCACGCGGAAGTTTGTCCGCAGGTATCGCCCTATTGACGGTAGCACATGAGACATGATAAGCGGTCGCCACTGACTGCCTAAAACGTCTTCCCATTGCTTCAACCCGGGCACTGTTCCGCGCTCAAATTCCCATACATCAACGAGTTGACGGAACTTTCTCTTGACGTCCGCCACGAGGCCGGTGCCCTTGGGGTCTAGGTGGTGTGGAGGCAGATGCTGTAGCCATGGGAACAGCCACGTATGCGGAAGATGATGACTTTGGCGCTTCTTCTTCGGGTTCCAGTCCGAGACCGCTGCCTCCAACTTTCGTGCTACGTGGTCCATGACCTGAGCTCGTACAAAGGGGGGCAGAAGGTCATTCCAGGTCTCAACCACGTCAAGCATGGGGCTCGGTGTCAAGGGGTCCCATTCCCGCACCGCGGCGACAACCCGTGGAAGCCAGTTCTTGTACATCATGCTTTCGTACGGAGTTGTGGCTTTGTGGTGTCTGCGATAGATCCCTTCCTGTTGCGTACGGCCCGAGTGCCATTTGTCGACAGATCGTCCCTCGTTTTCTGGCTTCATGAGCAAAGCTGACAGTCCCTTGAGATCAGACGCGAATTTCAGTGGTTCGACAAGAGGATCCCATTCGGCGTCTCTGAAAAAAGGGTGGATGGCAGCTACGGCTGTATCCGCTGCGTCAGGATTGACGGCACCAATTTCAGCTACTTTCTGCAAACAGCTGATAACCTGGTCCCAATTCGAATCCGTAGTGAGCTGGTCTGCAACCAAGTCTGAGAAGGTTTGAAGCTTCTCAAAGTCTGACAGTAGATCTTCCATTTCTTGCTCTCTTTCTCTCAACTCGACATTGACCCACGCCTTTCGTTCCTCGAGGTTTCTCCACTCTTCAGAGAATGCCTGAAGGTCTGCGTGTGCTCGTTTAACTAACTTCCTTGCTTCTATCAGCTCGGTTGGTTCGGAAACACCAGAGGTCGGTGTCATGATTCCATTTGTCGAAGTCAGCATCCGGTTCCCAGGCCCAGTCATATCCAAAATCGGCGCGAATGCATCCGGAATTTGTAAGCCTGGTGCTGAAGCCCTCAGTTCCTCGGCCGTTAAGTACTTCGTCTTTTGCCGTCGTGGCGTACTGGCACCGCTGCCACCTATACCACCGAGAGCCTTCTTTTTCGCCTTCTTGCGTTTCTTTTCCTCTTCGTCTGAGTCGACCACCGTTTCGCCTCGTAATTCTGCTTGCCGTTTTTCTTCCCGACGTTCGTGTTCCGACTTTTCTTTGACAGCTCCCAGGCCGATGCCCTGTGGTCGCAGATTTGCTTCAACGATAACGTTTCGTCCTTGACCTTCTTTGCCGAGACCTTTACCCTCAACATAGCCCATTTTAGCCATCATCCTCGCTCCGAAGCCCTTGGCATTAATCTTTCCTTTACTGGTAAAGGCGCTGTGTTGTGGTTTATTCTGGGGCGGCTCCTTGGCCGCAGCCGACTCCTGCAATACCGGCTCGTTTGTGGACGACGGTACAAACCCCAATCCAAGTACGCTGCCTCCTGTGAACTTGGACTTCACTTTCGGATGTCGAGATTTATCAGTGCTTTGAACTTGGTTCTGTGTAGCTCGCTGAAATAGAGAGTCTAGCTCTTCGCCAAATTCCAAGCCAAGACCATCCATTGTACTTTCGTCGTCGTCGTCGTCGTCGTCACCATCTTCATCGTCTTCAGAGCGATTGTCCTGGCCTTTGCCACCGGTATCCTGGCCGCTATTCGATTTGCCCAACACCGGCCTGTTATCCTCAGGTTCCATGCCATCATCCGATCCGTTTTCTTTTGAGGCTGTGGAAACAAAGGTCATGCCTTTTTTCCTCAGAGACTTTCGTTTCCATCTGGACCTCGGGCCATCTTCCTCACTATCGGAACCAAAGATGCCGAGCGCCGTCTTCTCCTTGTTGTTGTTCCCAAGTCGCCGCTTCTTTCTCGGATTAAAATCGCCAAAATCGTCGTCATCGGCCGTCATGCCCGGTATGCGGTAATCATCCTCGTCATCCGAAGCAGACGTCGAGAACTCTTCTTCAGCGGCAGCTTTGGCAAGCCGTGAAGGATCGAATGGGACACTTCCATTTCCTGACATTTCGAAGTGTTCCCTCTAGAGCTCACTGATCTTCATCCTGGAGCGCAGCGGGTCTGCACATGCCGATAACTTGAAGACAAAAAATGTTGCGGCGACGTAATTATCTTGCCTAGGCAGGGAGTGCGGCTACTGATCTTATCGGCACGTGACCCATGACTCCTCTTGCGGGTAGTGTAAGCCGTTGTCGACTACTTAGTCTGCGTCCATTCATCCACTCTGGTTAGCACCAACAATTCATTTGTGACGGGACCGTAATTATGTTGCAGCCTCTTTGCGGTGGCTCCAAAAAGTGTTAGGAGTACCAGTTGACGCACCGATGTCGATGTCATGGCTTTCCGGTCAGAACAACAAGGCGTACAAGAGCACACCCGCATATATGAATGGTATCTGGGATGGGTCTGATGCCTTCCGCTTCAGTTGATTGAAAGTTGTCTCTTCCGCACCGAGTTGTTCAAGTACATGGTCATGGCTCTCAAACTTATTGCCATCCTCCGCATGGCCGGCGAAGTCGCTATCTCGGATCTTATCTATTCCGCAAAGTCTCCGAAGCTGGACCTATTTCGACAAGTACACAGGGCCCTGGATCTTAATTTCAAGCATAATCAAGGCTGTGTGATGATGCTACTGATTTTGCCAACAATCGCAGTCGCAACCGCAATTCGATGCTTTACTCGCCGTGAATAGGCACGCGTGCGCCACAAACGATTCGAAGTTGAGGCAGTGAAACTGGCACAAATCGCCGTCCGGCCCAGAGTCGACTATTGTTTTTACACACATACTGGTGCGACTGAGTCTCTTTCAGACGCAAAGGCAGAAGTTTTATCTCTGTGCAAAAGTAAATGGGGAAAGCATCAATGTACGTCAAGTTTGTCGCTCCGATTTGTGGCATCACAGCCCCATTTCATAAATACATCCGTGAGCAATATTTCCCGAGAACCCTCAAGACCGCGCATGGCGTCACTCCAGACTGGAGATAATAGGAGAAGCTTTTGTGTACTTTGTAGCAACGACGTGGTAATGCTACAGTTGGAACAATCAACTGTATAACCGTCGAACAGCCATGGCTCGTCCTTGAACATGCGCTCTTGTTTGGCGTGGCGCGCCGGGCATCCGCTCATCTCAGGCAGCAACAATCCCTCTATCCCGCCGAGAATGGCATTGGGACAGCTCCCGGCTCTTTCATTATTGAGTCACCAAGCAGCAAGGAGGTGGACAGACTTGAAGTTACCATCAAAAGAGCGGGCGGTGAGGTATTGTGACAGAGTTCGACTCCTCCTTCTTTCGCGGCCTTTAAGTAAGCACGTAACGAGTGACATGGATATAGGGGCACTAACAAAGGATTGTTGCGACGTATGGCCTGAGTCTGAGATCATGTCAGAAGTCAAGAATGGTGTTGAGGAGCAGCCAGAACAAATTGGACAGCATCATGAACAGCACCAGACTAGGGATACTAGGAGTGACCAATGGCACCTTGCTATGACACAGGCAGACAAGATGCATAAAGCAGGGCTCACAGGAAACGAAGTCTTCATGGGTGTACAGTCGACAGCGGTGTCGGTTTCCCGACAAGAAGCCAAGTTATTCGAGTGCTGATGTGAGATGACAACAGGTCGATTACACACACGATGCCAAAGGGGGCTGCTTCGGACCAGGTTATCGCGTCTCCTTTGGAGATAACCTTGCCAAGGACGGCAAAAAAGGAGGCCCAGTGAACTGCACTTGGTCAGGCACTTCTGTCGCAGGCATATTGGCCGTATTCTCCATATCCTCAAACTACATCGGCGTGGCGCCCAACGTCTTTTTAGGGGTGTGACGAGTAATGAGCTCCGACAATACTAGCACTAGGAACACTTTGATAAACGCGTGGCTAAAGACAGCTGAGGATGCCGCGAATATCATCACCCTTTCTATTGGGGCTCCAACTCAATGGCCGCAGCATCTCCTGGCCCAAGCCGTCTCTTGGATCGCAGCTAGTGGCATTGCCACTGTAGAAAATAGCTTTGCTGGAGGCCAGTCCAATTTCTCAATCCCGTCCGCGGGTCGCGGTGTCACATCAATCAGCACCTTCTCCCAAGACTTTGTCGGCGACAACTATGCCTCATACGGGCCGACATGGGAGCTTGCAGCGTCGCGATGGTCAGGAATCAGGATCAGCACGCTGATGTTCTTGACTAAGAGATTGAACACTTCCGAATATGGAGGAGTAAAGAATCTACAAATTCATGGGGAAAAAATCAGTAGGGCATATATAATGAGTCAACAAATAAGCACACTTAATCAAAAGCGAAGAAACATAGGGAGATGCTTGGGCTGCGATGCGGACTTCTGTTTCCGTCGCCGGGCAACGAGGGGACGGGTTCAGATGCACACCCGTAGCATGGGTGGCCACACTAGTTTTTCTGGTGTGACAGATGCACCCGAGGTATCTAGGTAGCTTCAACAAAAAAATATGCTTACAGGCTGCACTTTCAGCTGAGCGGGGGCAATAATGCGAGAACGCAAAAATGAACAGCGAAAAGACAGTTTGAGTCGCGAATTATTCTCTCGCGTTATCTGCCACTTACAGTACGTTACTAGTGTAGGGTAGGCCACTGTTGTCGCGCTCGACGGACTGATTGACCAATGACAGACAGCATTTCAGACGGACACGAGACGTGGCCACCAGACTACGTAGTTGCGGACCCCTGATTGGATCCCTCCCAACGCCTGGCCAGGAGACTTTTCAGGAAGGGCAGCAACCACACAGCCACAGTTGGCTTGCGGCGTCAGGGCCCGTTGCCCCCTGTCCAGACGCCCAAGACGCCGACAGAACCGGCCCCGCCAAACATTTCGAACATCCCCGTCGCAAGCAGGCAAAACATTGTTTCCCAAAACGAGTCCTGTCGCTGCTGTCTCTACCTTTCCACTACTTGACCTGTTTGTTTGCGCGCTATCTAGACGGCGATATATATATTTTTCGACTTGCTTGCACATAGGTCCGACGGCTAGGTTCGCGGCTACCCCGACCGACACTCCCCGCCCTGGGACGTCACGACCAACGCAAACTTGAAGTGTTTTGCCCTCTATTTTCTTCTCGGCCAACCGCAAGAAAGTACCGCCTGTCCCGAGTTCCTGCTTGTTTCAACGTCTCGTTTCGAGTTACGCTTTCATTCGTGCTGGCCATTCAACCTGGGCTGTACTAGCTTTGACCATCTGCTGGCGTTTCCACAGCCTCAGCGTCTCCTGCTGGTAGGTTGCTTCTACCGCTTCGAGTCTTTGCAACCCTTTGTTTGATATGCATAGCTTGATTTCTGGGGGCGTCGATGAGCATTTTGCATCCAGAGGGGGCTATGGATGAGCATCACCACCGTCCAAGGATATTCGTGCTAATTCACAAGTTAGTCCGTTTGGTGAAGCCTCAATCGAGACAACCACTGCTGCACCGCGAATCCCACACCCGACGCTTTGAGATAATGGCGGATCAAGAGGAGGACTTTAGCTCCTTGCCGCTCAATGACCGATTTTCTCACAAGGTTTGATTTGTGATCCCCGGGACTGCCTGTGATGGAGGCTGTAGCTAACTCGTCCTCGACAGGTGTGGAAGGTGAGGAAAGCAGCATACGAAGATGCTGCAAAACAGTTCTCCGTCTCACCGGACGAGACCGATCCGTGCTTTCGGCCGTTCCTCAACGACCCCAATCTGTGGAAATCTGCTGTCACCGACTCCAATGTCGCCGCACAACAAGAAGCGCTCGCTGCTTTGTGCGCTTTCCTGAAATTCGGCGGACGCGATTGCGCCTTGCGGACCCGTGGCCTGACAATCACGCCCATGGTGGAAAAGTGTCTATCATCAACGAGAGCAGCCACGAAGCAGAACGCCCAAGAGGCTCTACTTCTTTACATTGAACTCGATACCGCCGGACCTGTGGTCGAAGACGTTTTACCTGGTCTTGCCAACAAGGTCCCCAAGAACGTGGCTGCTACACTGAACGCCTTGACAGCCATATTCCACAACTTTGGATGCAAAATAGTTGACCCCAAGCCGGTGCTCAAGACTTTGCCAAAGGTTTTTGGCGCTGCTGACAAAAACGTTCGTGCTGAGGCGACCAACCTCACGGTGGAATTATACAGGTGGTTACGAGAAGCCATGAAGCCCATGTTCTGGGGTGACCTCAAACCAACCCAACAAACGGATCTCGAGGCCCAATTTGACAAGATCAAGGCTGAGCCCCCACCGAAGCAAGAGCGACTGCTTCGATCCCAGCAAGCCGCCGCAGAGTCTGCACCAGCTGGTATAGATGATGGCGAGGGCGGAGCAGAGGATGGCGAGGAAGCGGCTGAGGTCGATGTCTTTTCGCTTGCTGAGCCAGAGGACATCACGAAAAAGATTTCCGCAGACTTTTCCGACATGCTCGCATCCTCAAAGTGGAAAGATAGAAAGGAAGCAGTTGAAGCCTTATATCAGGCAGTAAACGTTCCCCGCATCAAAGACAGCGATTTCGCCGAAGTAAATCGCGGCCTCGCCAAGTGTATGAAGGACGCTAATGTTGCTGTCGTTACACAAGCGGCGCAGTGTATCGAACAGCTAGCCAGGGGCCTGCGACAAGGCTATGGCAAGTACCGAGCGGTTGTAATGCAGCCTATTATGGATCGCTTGAAAGAAAAGAAAGCGTCAGTTTCAGATGCCCTTGGAGCTGCCCTAGACGCTGTTTTCGTCTCGACGAGCTTGACCGACTGTCTTGAAGACATCACTACGTATCTGAGCAACAAGAATCCGCAAGTAAAAGAAGGCACAATGAAGTTTCTGATTCGGTGCCTCCGGACTACCAGAACTGTTCCCGCCAAGCCTGAGATTGCCGCCATTTGCGAAAGTGGCAAGAAATTGCTTTCAGAGGGCAGCCCCGCGCTTCGAGATGGCGGTGCTGAGATTCTTGGAACTGTGATGAAGATCCTTGGAGAACGAGCCATGACTCCATATCTGGACGGCCTCGACGATATTCGAAAGACGAAGGTGAAAGAGTTCTTCGAGACGGCCGAGGTCAAGGCCAAGGAAAAGCCCAAGCCCGCGCCGGCAGCGAAAGTACCTCCTCCTTCGGCAAAGAAACCACTTGGTGCCAAAAGGCCCGTTGTCAAGAAAGTCGGTGCTCCCGTCATGCCTGCAGAGGCTCCTACCGCACCAGCACCAGCAGGATCTAAGCCTGCGGTCGCCGGAAGCAAGCTAGGAGGCCCCAAACCGTCCGGCTTAGCCGCGTTAAAGGCCCCCCAGAAACGGACGCTGGGTGGCCCTGGAGCTTTGTCTCCCCGGCGTCCAGCCGCAGGCCCGCCCGCGACGCCTCCGGTGATGCCTCCAGATGACGAACCTGTAGCACCGCCTCCACAGCCCAGAGCTGCGTTGTCCCGGGGACTCGCTGGTCGTTCACTCGCGAAGCCGACCGCAGCTTCAATCATGCCTGCCGCTGACTCTCCGCCGCCGGCAAGTGGCCTCACTGCCGCTGAGCGTGCAGAATTAGAAGAGCTTCGGGCAGCCAACGAAAGACTGTCTCGCCAAGTCGACGATATGCGGCAAGAGCGGAATAAGTTCATGTCTGAGATCCAAGAGCTAAAGAACCAGAATGCTGGCCTCATAGAAGATCATACTAGAGATGTCCTGAGCGTCAAGGCAAAGGAGACGCAGCTTGTCCGGGCCCGAAGTGACGCCGAGGCGACCGGTCAGGCCAACGAAAGGCTACGACGAGAGCTAGAGCGCTTGAAGAGAGCACTGAGCCTGGCCGAGGGCTTGGGAGCGCAGCCAGGAATGGGAAGTCCAGGTATGTAACCCACCATGGCTCTGCAGTAGAAGCCGACCTTTATCATGCTAATTATTGGTCAGTCACGTCACCGACGCACGATGATGTCGGTATCTATCGCGATTCAGGGTCGATGTCCACCGGCCGCAACAGAATGAGCTTTACTAGTACCGTGTCGGAGGAAAAGGAGAATGGAGAACTGAGTTACCCGAGGAACAAGCTCAGCCCGGAACTTCGCCGTAGTGGAAGCGGAGCGTCGTCTGGGCGTGGTTCTCCAGCTAGGGGCCTAAGGAGTACTGCACCTTCTGCATACGAGTCTCTCGAGCCAACCGCATCAGCAACTCGAGAAAGGCCTGTTTCCACATTACCGCAGCCTACGAATGGCGGCGGAGTTGAGAGCTGGAGACGTGCTGCTGAAGTTACAAGCCAACTGAAAGCTCGCATCGAACAAATGAAGGCAAGTGAAGTGTTGTCCCCATGACCGCGCGGCCCCGATATGCCACGGCCTGCTAACACGTCTACAGGCCAAACAAGGCTTTTCTCGACCCTAAGCTATTGGCTGTCATGCGGATAGTGCCGAAAAGAGCGACGCAGATTGCAGGCCCTGCTGAAGAGCGCCCGTCAACATCTCTCCAGTATATTTAAAGACGCGCACATAATGTTTGGTTGTCGAGTTTGTTGTACTGCATTTCGATGGCGTTTAAATAACATACCCTAGTCTTTTGTGTGGTTGAGAGCTATGAACGTGGGTATTGTTAGGTGGCTATTCCAATAGCCTGTAATGCTGGATGGAGGGCGTATATTATTAACGTTGGGATGTTTTTCTGATGACTTGATGACAGGATGGCTTTCCAAGCGAGGACACCTTTTGTGTTGTATACTCATAGATAGTTGTGTTCTGCTCGAGATGCTAAATATGGGCGTTGGCATTGACAGAGCCTCCAAGAAGGCCGGGTCCATTCTGCTTTGAGCAAAGTCCAATTTCACGTCATAAGAGCGTGGCCAAGTTTGGGCTGCTGTTGGAGATGTTGCAACCGCGGCAGTGCGGCAGCGTCTACTAAGCTACGTCTAACGAGGCATCTGAGGGAGTCTGGACAATTAGCAAGTATCATGCTTGAGAGTCCTTATACAGGGATAGATGTCCCTGTCACAGCTGACCAAGCGAAGTGGCACTGACTCTCATGAGTTTACATGCGTATAGAGTCTGACATGACATATTCAACCTAGCACTTGAAGGATACACTGACGTAATGCGGTGTATTACGGCGCATCACGCAATGGCCTGATGACTGCTCTACTCAGAAACTTTCTGCCTCCTGCTGCGGATCAGAGTCAGACGAACCCCAGCCAGGCCTCGTTGATACTGGCGTGAACCACCGCCGAGACGAGTTGTAAAACGCGACGCTCATTTTAACGCGGCGATCGACTAGAGCCGACTTCCTTGCTCGCACAAGGAGCGACCCAAGTCGTGACAGACTCGACAAATCGGGTCACCACCTCCAATGCCGACACGCAGAGCACACTGTAGTTTCTCCCGATGAACCACTTGAGTTCATGACGACTACAGCCACGCCATTTTGATTCGAACATCGCCAATGTTGAATAGGTCAACAGGTCGGTCCACGTGACGGAGCTGCTGGGCACTTGAGTGAGTGGCTTTCACGTTGAAGCCACTCGGTCGCTCCTGCCGTGTTGCATTACGTCACACCCTCATCCCACATCATCCACATCCACACCATCGCCCAAAACTCGTTTCCATCATCGAATGGAATGGACCGTTGGGACAAGTTTCGCTCCTCCGCCTAATTTTACCCAGAGCCCACGCCCAAGTGCGTCCTGACCCTCCATCTTCTCGTCTGCCCGCTTCCTGTCCTATCAAGTTATTGATTTATTCCTCGTCACTTCTGTGTCATTCACACCATCAGCCATCTGCTTTAGTGCCAGCCCGTGCAGACCCCTCAGACCCTAGCTGTTGTCTGCCTTCAACAATAACGGATAACGTAAAGCCGCCCTCAATCGGGAACTTGCGAGAGCCCCTCACATTACAACCTCGATACCGACCGACGCGTACCGACGACAGAACCGCCACTTGTCGACCGAGAGCGCTCAAATTGATTGCTGCCATCCGCACACGTCTCCCGCTCCACGCTTTAGCTACCGATGTTGCCATTGTAGAAAGCCGATAGTCGCCTACACCAGCCTGGTATACCCTGCCCGGGGCACGGCAACGCCACCGTCACCATGTTGGAAGGACTGGTCGCGGGTCTTCTGAACCGATTCCTGGGTATGTACGTCCAGAACTTTGACCCAACGCAGCTCAAAGTCGGTATCTGGTCTGGCGACGTCAAGCTCCGAAACCTCGAGCTGCGCCGTGAGGCTCTCGACCAGTTGAAGCTGCCAATCAATGTTGTCGAGGGCCATCTGGGAGAGCTGACCCTGCTCATCCCGTGGTCTAATCTTCGTGGTGCGCCAGTCAAAATTTTTATCGAAGATGTTTTCCTCTTGGCTAGCCCGAAGGAGGAGGCCGAATATGACGAGGAAGAGGAGGAACGCAGAAGACAGAGGCTCAAATTGGACAAGCTAGACAGCGCCGAATTACTCAAGGAACGGAACCAGGAAGGCATGAGCCAAGAAGAGCAAAAGAAAAGCCAAAGCTTCACCCAAAGTTTGGTCACCAAGGTTGTCGATAATTTGCAGGTTACCGTCAAAAATATTCACGTTCGATACGAGGATTCAATCTCTGCCCCGGGACACCCTTTTGCACTCGGTGTGACCTTGGAAGAATTTAGTGCCGTAAGCACGGACAGGCAATGGAAACCTACATTTATTCAGGACTCTAGCACTACAACGCATAAGCTGGCAACTCTGGGCGCCTTGGCCGTGTACTGGAACACAGACTCAGACCTGTTTGGGACCGGTCGCGAGGCGTCTTCACCGCTTAAGGAGCCCATGCCGCATGACGAAATGGTATCAAAGTTCAAGGCCATGGTTGGCAGGGCAAACGCCCTTGCCGCCAACCATCAGTTCATCTTGAGACCGGTGAATGGACAGGCAAAGATTGAACTTGACAAGTCTGGCGATACCCATGCACCCAAATTCAAAGCCAATCTTCTCTTTGAAGAAATCGGTCTCGTTCTTGATGACGACCAATATCGTGATGCGCTGATGATGGTTGACTTGTTCCATTACTTCATTCGTCATCAGGAGTATAAGTCATTAAAACCGAAAGGTGTGCGGCCCAAGGAAGATCCCCGCGCCTGGCTCCTCTTTGCCGGTAATGCTGTTCTAAGTAAGATACATGAAAGAAACCGCAAGTGGTCATGGGACTATTTCCGGGAAAGACGCGACGATCGCCAGCGGTACATTGAACTGTTCAAGAAGCAAAAGCAACAGCAGCAACTCACCACAAAAGAAAGCACAGACTTTAAAAAGCTTGAGTGCAAGTTGGGATACGAAGATTTACGCTTCTGGAGATCGTTGGCTCGAAACCAGCTGAAGAAAGAAAACGCGGAAGCTTTAAGAAAGCAACCTCAGCAGCAAGAACAGCAAGGCTGGCTGGCGTGGATGTGGGGATCGAAGCCTCAGGGCACCATAGGGCAAAATGAAGAAAATACTCAAATGACTGAAGAGCAGCGAAAGGAGCTGTATGATATGATTGAATGGGACGAGAAGCAAGCACTGGCCGAGGAGGTAGACACCCCTAAGGAGGCTGTGAAGTTCTGTCTTGAAGCTTCTCTAAGCACTGGCAGTTTCACATTGAAGAAGAGCCCACACGATAGTCCCTCCGACCTTTTGAGCCTTCACTTCGACGTCTTTAAGGCGAAAGCTCTTCAGCGAAAGGATTCGGTATTGGCAAACGTCAGTCTCGGAGGCCTACGAGTAAATGACGGAACGACGCCTGACAGCCTGTACCCCGAGATTGTCCGCGTCAAAGACGCCCCAGAGACCGGAAAACGGAAGAGTTTATCGTTGAGGGAGCTGGAAATTGATGAGGAAGAGCCATTTTTCCAGTTCGAAATCGAGCAGAATCCTGTAGAACGCCAGGGTGACTTTGCCATTGTCGGAAAACTTAAACCTCTCGAAGTCGTATGGAATCCAAACTTTGTCGTTGGCGTTGTTGATTTCTTCCGGCCGCCAGAGAGGCACATGGAGTCCATCACTGCTTTGATGGAAAGCGCCGGCGCAACCGTCGAGGGCATCAGAGAGCAAACCCGCGCAGGGTTGGAGTTTGCCCTTGAAGAGCACAAAACCGTCAACGCCGAGCTGGACCTACAGGCCCCTCTCATTATCGTGCCCGTAAGCATTACAAGTGCGAACTCAACCTGTCTGATTGTCGATGCTGGTCATATTCATGTCAACAGTCAATTGGTAGATCAGAAGACCATGGACAAAATCCAGGCAAAGCAACGGCAATCTTATAGCGAGGCTGACTTTAAGCGCCTCGAATCGGCAATGTACGACAAATTTATCGTCAATCTCACGTCAACACAAGTGCTCATCGGTCCGTCAATCGAAGAAACCAAGAAGCAACTGGTTAAGAAAAGCCCAGACGCTCAGCTACATGTTGTGGAGAAAATTAATGTTGACTTTGTCGTCGAAACTTCAATTTTACCCAAGGCCCCAAATCTTACGAAGCTACGAGTTTCTGGCCACCTCCCTATGTTGCATGCGACAGTGTCCGACTCGAAATACAAGAACCTCATGAAGGTTATCGACGTGGCTATCCCAAAATTGGGACAAAGTCAACAATTAGAGTCAAAACCCGAGAATGACCGACGACCACCACTTCTTAGTGCTAATTCCGCGCGACTGCGAAGGAAATCTCAACGAGAACGCCGCCAATCTTCCGCCTTCCCATTTATGCAACCGCAGAGTGCTGTGATACTGGAAGACATTGACGATGACGAAGACGACTTCGAAGACGCGACGGACGGAGTTGATGGCCAACAGCTAAAGATCCAACAAAGGAGCTTTGAATTTAACTTCAAAGTTGACACACTCAAGGGCTCACTGTACAGAAGCGACCCTGATCGACGGAAACCCGACACGCTTCTTGTTGAGCTGGTGGCTGAGCGCTTTGACCTTGCCTTTTATACTAGAGCGTACGATATGGCAGCTGAAGTATCATTGGGCTCTGTTGCGGTCGAAGATTACGTCGAAAACCCTCCCGGAGAGTTCAAGTCTATTGTTTCTTCTGGGGATAGCGACGACCTGAAAGCAGGGCGGAGCCTCGTCCATGTGAAGTTCATGAAGATTAATAGACAGTCGCCGGAATTCATGCCAGTGTACGAGGGGGTGGAGACCAACATCACCGCTGTCATATCAACTATCAATATTGTCGTCACTCGTAAGACGCTCCTGACGCTTCTAGACTTCATTTTGATCACATTCACAGGTGGCAATAACGAACAGCAAGCTCTACCGGCACCAAACATCGCGGCCACTGAAGGCAGCGAGGAACCACAGCTTGATGAGAGTATTGTCGAGACCCAAAAGGCCAATGATACCGTCGGGTCAATCCGTGTCAAGGTTGACTTGAAAGCAATTCGCCTTATTCTCAATAACGATGGTATTAGGTTGGCAACCCTCTCATTCAACCATGGAGATGCCGGCATCTTTATCAGCAGGAAAGCGATGCGCATCTCTGCTAAACTGGGTGACTTGTCACTGGTTGATGATGTAAACCTTGGGGTCTCAGCCGATTCAAGTCTTCGGAAGCTGGTTACGATTCAAGGTGATGACCTTGCTGACTTCAGGTACCAAACATTTCACCCTGAGAACCAGGAGGTTTATCCTGGGTACGACAGCTCTGTTTTCCTCCGAGCTGGATCTGTCAAGGTGAATTTTGTTGAGGAGCCTTTCCGCAAGATCATCGATTTTCTTGTCAAATTTGGCAAAATGCAAGCCTTGTACAATGCCGCCCGCCAGGCCGCTGTGAGCCGTGCCAATCAGATCCAGCAGAGCCCCAGCAGGATCAAGTTCGATGTTGTTATAAAGACGCCGATCGTCGTCTTCCCTCGGCTCTACGTATCTGAACAAGACAAAGGAGATGCTATCACCGCGTGCCTGGGTGAAATATACGCCCAAAATAAGTTTGTTCCCCTGGATGATAGCGAGGACTCCGATATTGCCATGAAAATTTCGGCAGGTATCAGAAACGTTTGCCTCACTTCCGACTTCCACTATTCCAAGGACCGATCGGAAGAGCTCGAAATGATTGACGGCGTCGACCTGGGCTTCAATATTACCTATGCGGAACATAAAGAAGGTGTGAAGCGACCGGATACTGAAATAGAAGGGACCCTCTCGGACATTAATCTTCGCTTGACACAATACCAACTCAGGACTCTTATGGAGATTTCCAAGTCAGTTCCCGCCGCTTTGGCGGGAGATGGAGACGATTCTGATGCAGAAGCCGCGCGAATGGTGGATGAAGGGACACTCGAGCGTGCCAAAGCCGCTCCTGGCGGCGGTGGCAGTGGTCACAACCAGAGCTTGATTGACCTCTCACCAGAACTCAGCTCACTACAAAGTGCGTGGACAAAGTTTGACCTTATATTTCGTGTCAACACTGTTGGTCTTGAGCTCATCATGGCCGAGGACGACGAGCCGGTCAACAATTTGGCCAACGCGAGTTTGTCAAAGTTCTCACTGGATGATGCAAGGTTGAAAACAAGAATGCTGTCCGACGACTCTCTTGAAGCAGAACTACTTATTCGATCTTTCACCATTCACGACAGTCGTCGGCAAGACACCAAGTATCGGCGAATCATGACCTCTTCTAACAAGGAAGCGCAGCAGTTGATGGCTAGTGTGACCATATCTGGTGGAAAGGAACGAAACTTGATTGCCATGGCTACTATTGACAGTCCCCGAATCATCTTCGCTCTTGATCATCTGTTCGCGATTCAAAAATATATAACTGAAGGTCTAACAGTCGACGACACCAGTCCAATGGATGATGAAAGCGTAGGAGAGACTATTGATGAGTCCGACACCGATTCGATGCAGGTTACTTATAACGCTCCCGGTACTGATCGAACAGGGCCGCATGTTGCCCGGCGCCGAAACGAGATGTCCCCGACCAAGTCCCAGAAACAGACAGAAGAGTCGACGATATCGATGGCGTTTCGGGTCAATCTGGTCGATGCGCAGGTTATCCTCATTGCAGACCCGTTGTCGTCCAGCTCCGAGGCGATCGTTTTGAGCATCCGACAGGTGCTCCTCTCGAAACAACATGCACTTACCTTCCAGATATCGGAAATCGGCATGTTCTTGTGCCGAATGGACAAGTTTGACACCTCTCGCCTGCGTATCATCGATGACTTTTCAATTCAACTGAACATGGACAGCTCACAAGTTGGGGTGGTCGGCATTCACGTTGATGTGGAACCCTTGATCCTGCGACTTTCTCTTCGTGATATTCTCCTGATTCTGCAAATTATCAGCAGAGCTGGTGAATTGTCTGGAAATGAAGCAAAACAACCGGCGGAAACAGCAGCGGAACAGAAAGCGAGACAGCTGCGGAATGCCGGATTGAAATACAAGTCTGCTAGTGGACGTGGCCAATCGACGATTGCGAAGACCCGGGGCACAAAGACGACTGCTGCAAGACCAACTCATCCACCAGCAAAACCACAACCAGTCGCGGCCCCTCATCGCGAGGAGCTCTCCGCCACTATCGATGGCGTGCGTATTGTTCTCATTGGTGATCTGCACGAGTTGCCTACTCTTGACGTTGGCGTCAAAAACTTTACGGCCACGGCTGAGAATTGGTCATCGAATCTCAAGGCGGAGTCCGCAATTAACATGTATTCAAGCGTTTACAATTTTTCCAAGTCGAGTTGGGAACCACTCCTTGAGCCGTGGCAACTTGGCCTTGGCATCGCTAAAGACCCAACATCTGGACTGATTTCCGTTGACGTGGCATCGAAGAAGACTTTTGATATTACCATCACCACAGCCACCATTGCTTTGGCCTCCAAGTCACTGACGTTTTTGACTTCAGAGCAAAATGTTCTTGACAAACCAAGAGGTGTAGAGACACCTTATCGCATCAGAAACTACACAGGCTTCGATGTGGTTCTTCACTCCAAGAGCTCCAGTAGCGAGGAGCCTATTAGTCTCCGACCTGGGGATGGAGCTGAACAACCCTGGAGTTTCGAGCATTGGGAGAAGATGCGAGAGAATATACTCGCTGAGTCCAGCCAGAACGACGTCAGCATTCAGCTTGAAGGTACTGGCTTCGATGTTGTCAAGAATGTCAAGCTAAGCAGGGAAGGCGAATTCTTGTATGGCTTACGGCCAAAAACGGAGAATATCCTACATCGTCTCTGCGTTGAGGTGAAGCTGGGATCCGATAATGTGAAGTATGTAACTTTGCGGTCACCACTTGTTGTGGAGAATGCCACCGAGATTCCGGTTGAACTTGGCATCTATGATGCCCAAGAAGGCCACCTCCTCAAGATTGAGAAGATTGCACCAGGTGATTCTCGGCCGGCACCCGTTGGCGCCGTATTCGAGAAACGGGCTCTGATCCGACCGGATGGTGGTTTCGGCTACGAATGGAGTCGAGAACCGCTCTGGTGGAGGGACTTGCTGCAGAGACCAACAAGACAACTTGTCTGCAAAGGAGAAAGCGGCGACCCATTCTATTTTCAGGTCCACTCCCAATTTGATAGATCTAACCCAATAACGAAGTAAGTATTAGCACTGGCCAGGCTCGTGTTCATGATGGCTAATCAGACTTCAAGGATATACCCTTATATGAAGATCAAGCTGTCCGCCCCCATTACTCTTGAAAACCTTTTGCCCAATGACTTCAAGTACAGAATTTATGACAAGAACACGAAAAAGGACTGGTCAAACTTCTTGCGCAAAGGCGGCGTCAGTCCAGTGCATGTCGTGGAGCTCTCACATCTCCTACTTCTTAGTATCGACATGCAAGATACCGTCTTCAAACCGAGCGATTTCGCAATTATCAACTCGGGAAATGTCGAAGACTTCCGAAAGGAAAGCCGTATCGTTGTCAAAGATGACCAAGGGCTGCCGTTGAACCTGGCATTGCACTACTTCAAAATCCCCAATAGTGGAGGCGCTTTCAAGATAACTGTGTATAGTCCCTATGTCGTTCTCAACAAGACTGGCCTTAATCTCCGGATTCGTATGAAGAGTTTTCTACAGCAAGCAAAGCCAGCTGCCGGTCAGTTCCCGCTTATTGACACGTCTGACCGTGAACGACCAAAGGCCCTGCCGTTCATGTTCTCGTATGGCAATGACGACAATCGCAATCGGGTGCTTCTCAAAATTGACGAGTCGGAATGGAGCAAACCTCAAAGTTTTGATGCCGTCGGAAGTACTACCGAGGTTATTTTGAACTCTGCCTCCAAGACCAAGGAAATCCACGTTGGTATAACGGTCAAATCCGGTGAAGGCAAGTACAAAATGACCAAGGTTGTCACGCTGGCTCCTCGATTCGTGCTCGAGAACAAATTGGGCGAGGAGATATTGATTCGGGAGCCGAGCTCGTCTGGCTACATGACACTGGAGCCTGGCGCACTCCAACCTCTGCATTTCATGCAAAAGTCCCCGGTCAAGCAACTATGTCTTTGCTATGCCGGTGTAGACAATCATTGGACATCTCCATTCAACATCGCCGACATTGGTACGACACACGTCAAAATCGCAAAGGCTGGCCAACGACAACGATTGTTGCGTGTCGAAATTCTGCTTGAAGATTCGACAATCTTCCTTCATCTGAGCGTGGAGACCAAGAACTGGCCATTCTCAATGCGCAATGAGAGCGATACAGGGTTTACCTTCTATCAAGCCAACCCAAACGTTGACGAAGACGACGTGGAAGACGGAAGCGGTTGGCGGCCTATCCGGTACAGGCTGCCGCCTCGAAGCATTATGCCATATGCATGGGATTTCCCGGCAGCCAAGTTCCGGGAAGTTGTCATCGCCACGAACAATAAGGAGCGTCACGTCAAGTTGGCTGAAATTGGCAACCAAATTCCAATGAAGTTCATCACGGCCTCGGGCGAGCAGAAGATCATCGACATCAATGTCGCAGCTGACGGGCCAACACAGACACTTATTCTGAGTAACTTTCGACAAAGTAGAAGTATGTACAAACCCAAGGCTCTCTCAAGGACCGCCAGCGGCCCAGAAGCATTTGAAGTCAAGGACCAGGATACAGGCGCAACCTTCCGAGCGCAACTTAAGCTCTCGGGCATTGGCATATCGTTGATCAATGCTCAGCTCAAGGAGTTGACCTATATCACGTTCAGAGATGTGCAACTGCGATTCAGCGATTCGCCTCTGATTCAGACAGTATCACTGGCTGTCAAATGGATCCAGATTGACAATCAGCTCTACGGCGGCATCTTCCCAATAGTCCTTTACCCCAGTGTGGTACCAAAAAAGGCAAATGAGGTGGACGCCCATCCGTCCCTACATGCGATGGTCAGTCGCGTAAAGGATGAATTGTACGGTGTTACGTATATCAAATATGCAAGCATCCTTCTTCAACAGATGACGGTTGAACTCGACGAGGACTTTGCGTTTGCGCTGTTGGACTTTTCCAACGTTCCTGGCGCTAGCTGGTCTAAGGCTGAGGAGGAAGGCAAGCTGTGCGATGAAGATCTCGACATACCCGAACCTTCCCAACAACAGGGCGGGCAAGACATTTACTTTGAGGTGCTCAACATTCAGCCTATGCAAGTCGATTTGAGTTTCATGCGTACTGAGCGCATCAATGCGGAAGACAAGACCTCGTCCCGGAATCCCATCATGTTCTTCGTAAATGTCCTGACAATGGCCATTGGAAACGTCAACGATGCCCCAATTCGATTCAACGCCTTGATACTGGAGAATGTACGTGTTTCGACATCAGTTCTCATACAAAACATCTCAAATCACTACAGCCAAGAGGTCATGTTTCAGCTTCACAAGATTCTGGGCTCTGCCGACTTCCTCGGCAACCCTGTGGGCCTCTTCAACACCATCTCTTCTGGGGTCACGGACATATTTTACGAGCCATACCAAGGACTTATTCTTTCTGACAAACCGGAAGAGTTTGGATATGGTATTGCCAAGGGTGCCGCTTCATTTGCAAAGAAGACTGTGTTTGGCTTCAGTGACAGCTTCTCCAAATTCACTGGCAGTCTAAGCAAAGGTCTCGCAGCGGCATCACTAGACAAGCAGTTCCAGGATCGGAGACGCATTACAAAGGCGAGGAACCGACCGAAGCATGCGCTGACAGGTGTCACCGCCGGCGCCAACTCACTGCTTACAAGTCTTGCGTCGGGTGTCGGTGGCCTGGCTCGAAAACCGCTCGAAGGCGCAGAGCAGGAGGGCGCTTTTGGGTTTATCAAAGGAGTCGGAAAGGGAGTACTTGGTCTGGCAACCAAGCCTGCTGTTGGCGTCTTGGACATGGCAAGTAATGTGAGCGAAGGCATTCGCAATACTACGACTGTATTTGATGGCCAGGAGCTTGATCGCACACGATTCCCTCGATTCATTCCCAACGATGGCATTGTTAGACCATACAACAGCCGCGAGGCGATGGGGCAGTTCTGGCTGAAGCAAGTGGACAACGGGAGATATTTTGACGAGCAGTATATTGGTCATCTGGAATTGCCCAAGGAAGACATGGTCGTCATGGTCACGTTTGCTCGTATACTGCTTATTAGGTCTAGACGACTGACAAGTGAGTGGGACGTGCCCTTGAAAGACATCCAGACGATTGCCAAGGAACGGACTGGCGTGAGCCTTGTCTTGCGAGGCGGCGCAAATGGGCCTTTTATTCCGGTTGGAGGTGGAAGCGAGAGAGCGTACTTGTACAAGATGATTGGTGTTGCCGTGGAAGAGTTCAATCGCAGGTTCAGAGGAGGAGAGTAACCAACACCCTGTGAATTGTTGTCGTTCCTCATTGTGACGGGGGTGGAAGGGAAATTTTGAAATGACAAATATGATTATGAGAGTAGCATTAACTTATCATTATTATTATTATTTTCCGCGTCAATGAAAAATTGTTTACTAGCAATACTCAAATTTTTCTTACACGCTGTCTACGACTGACCGAGAAGAAAACAACGCCTCTCTTGAACTCGTTGCCTCGTCATGCTGCTGTTCTGCTGTTCTGTTCTGTTTGCTTGTATTTTCACCCAACTACGACTTGAATATTTCCCCCTCTCAGTGGCGTTATCCCTCGTTTTCATTTTTAACATCACCACGATTCACTCAGACAGCGAAGGGGGTGGCTGACAACCATTGGTTGGTGTTTCAACTCTCTTTCTCGCCCTCGCTTCCTATGAATTGCCGCTGCAGGGTATTACCGCCACTATATTCAGAATTGGAAATTGCATATGGGATGGTGGATGACGATAGAATACGGATCCCATGTCCGTCCTGGAGCCATGGACCTCTCGAACGGAACCTCAAGCTTCAACCGTAGCGCGTTTCGACAGACTTGACCAATTTAATGGAAACCAGGCCTCCAAATCTTTCAGTTTTAGTGTCAATCTGTTTTGTGGCAATTTGTGAGCCCCACGTGGCACGAGCGGGGAAAAGGCAAACTTATAGGTGCGAAGTTCGGTATCCACATGGTAAGGTTTGAAAAAGTTGCCATTAGGCTGAGCGGATTCTGCACGTGGCGTCAAATAAGTACGGTATTCCTTGAACGCTGTTGATAAGATGCCCTCAGATTTGGTTTCCTTCTCTCTTTAATCCAAACTTATCCTTGCCCTTGACCAGTACCCATCGCTCTTGGTGTCTGGTTGGGGCCGAGGTAGCGTGAGTTTGCCTCGTTGAGCGGAACATGCCTCGAGAACTTGGTGTGCTTGCTCGTCCCACCCGGTCTGACCGCCCTCTCGACTGGGATCATAGTCATGTACAGTAAACCACCCCTATAACGATAACCTTCGTGAGCCTTTTTTCATCGTAATATAGCGACTATCGCTAAGATGCCGAATATCGCTAAGATACAGGGTTATAGACATGGTTTACTGTACTCTGTAAGAAGCACGGACTACGTAGTTGCGTGGCAGCTCGCTGGCCAAGACGGAATGAGGCGTAGAGGAGACCCTATGCCTGTTCGATAAGCATCGATCAAAACACATGATAGTTTCGGCTTCATGATGGCCTTGATTCAATCAACAGCAGGCCGTGATTTGCCGCTGTTGCATGCATGGACCAGGTTGCCGAATCAAAGGTTCCCAGGTTTCTGTGTGGTCAGTGGTCGTCCAAACTACTAGCTCGCTTCACAACTGTCCAGTTGAAGCGCCAAGCTACCAATACCCTCCCGCAAAAGAGCTGGATAGGGAATCGGGAACTGACGAGGCTGTTGAGCCACGACTACTAGTCCGAACACCCGAAGCAGCCAAGGAAGCCTGGGCTTTCTAGGTCTGGCCCTAGCTCTTCCATCCTCGAGGTTGCTGCGGTTTGTTTCTCGCAGCAGAACCATGAGATGCTCATGAAGTAGGCGGGTTATCGGGGTAAGGTGGCCAGTACTCCGTAACAAGTATCTGGTTGACGAGGCTAATCAGCCGGATAATATTACCAGGGGAGCAATAGTGGATTGGTTACCTGGCACACGCCAGCTGGGACATGAATGGCCTCGGAATTGAGATTGGATTCGAATTGTGCGAAGGCGCGAAGCGAGAGGGCGTTGTTCGGACGTCGTCGACGTCGTCTTTACGTGAGGGGCCACTGGATGTCTAGGAGCAAACCGGTGCGGCTGCTTATCAGTCAGGTGGCGTTTGCCATCTCGGACAGACAGAGCCTGTGGCGACTGTGGCTTTCGGTGATTTGACATCAAAACGAGACATGGAGATCTGTTGAAAGATACCAAGCGGTGGCTATTTGTCTGTTGCACTCGCCTGATCTGCCCCTCCCCAGTCTCACTGCCTCACGGTGTGCGTATTTTGAGGAGGAAAGAACGTTTGTCTAGGAAGGAGCAAATCTTGGTTCAGAGAGCCGCAAGCGAGCATGTGATGCCCCGCATCGGCCAATGGCGAGGCGCCAATGCCTACAATGGAGTCTGGAGTCTGTGGACTGCTCAAGTGCTCAACGATTGATGGATTTCCATCTACGTAATACATTCGACTTCGATTTTTGGTCGAGACGCTTTTCTGCCCAGCACCTCGGACAACCTGGGTCTCCCAGAACCAGTAAGCCGTCCGCCTGCCAAAAGTCTATTGGAGTCCATGCGTTCATGCAAAGGACGAATTCTGGGCGAAGTTGCTCTCCAGGCCCGTGCAAACGCTGTTGGGCCGTCAATGTCCGAGGTCAAATGTGATAAGAGCGCCATCAAGGGGAAAACCACCGACTTAAGGCGGGTGTCCTTTAACTTCCGAAGCTCTAACTTATTCCATCGTGGCTGTGGCTCATAGATTATAATGATGGGAATACCAAGTCGAACCAACCGCCGCCACCATCAAAGAACCAGACCAGAAGACGCCACCCCCAGACGCAGACGCACGAGGGCGGCATCTTTTGGCACTTTTTGACGCTCCCCCTCCCCGCCCCCTCTTTCTGTGTGGAAGTGCAAAGTTGGTATGCAGGTCAGTCAAACTTGACGTCCTTTACCCTCGGTGCAGGCTTTTCTAATCTGATATTTCGGACGACATGCTTGTATCACTTGTTATGAGGATACCTGCTTTGCAAAGTTTCGTTCCTACGTCAACGCTTTGTTTGACCATGATGGCTTCACGTCAACATTGTACACACAAGACGGTCAACATAATACAATGCAATAGATGGCGCTGACATCAGACCCTCGTCAGCTAGAATCCAGCCTTGGAGGGCAACCAACAAAAGCTCCCCGAAGCGTGGGTACAAACTATCGGTGGATTGGGAATAGTAACGTTGGTCAGTGGGATCCGCAGGCATCATGCACATCAGTTGAGGCACGGAGTGGTTATTGGCGTCTGGGGTTCGGGCCTCGAGGGCCAATCCCTGGAGCTAGAAACCCTGGAGTCGATTGCAAGAGATTTTGTGAGTGTGTATGCATGAAGTTGATTGATTGTGTAGCTATAGAGTAGTGAGCTAGTAAATATATATATAACCTTAGGTTACGTAACATCTGCTGCTAATTTTGCCTTAATGCCCTTATTGTAAATATTATTATTATTACTATTATTATTATTAACTTTCTATAGTATAACTATATACTACTGCTATTATAGCTATTACTATATTTATATTAAATTTAATTTATAATGTAATAAACTTTAATTCTACTATACTTAGTGTCGGCCAATTGAGGGACCCTTTATATATAGTATAGGTATAATAGATAGAGCTTATGTAATCTAGTTGATTACTAAGCATAAGATAATAGGGATTCTTAAGGTATAATAGAAGTGACTTTAGATATAGTATAAAATTGTATGTAATAGTATGTATTAAAGAATGTAGTTGTAGAGGCTTAATTTCCTCTCTATCTAGTTGGGGGGAAGGAGGGTTATTTATAGGTAAATCCTATAGTAGGGCTGCCGGATTAGGCATAGATAGTAGCTTAAAATAACCTTAGAGGCTAAAAATAACTCTTGTAGCTGCTTTCCTACTATAGAGTAGATTAGCCTTTATAGCTTATTAGTGTTTTTGTTGAATTTCAGCCAGCATTCCTCTCTTAACCTTAATTATATATGCTAAGGAATGTAGGCGTAAAGCATATTAAATCCTTGCATATAAAATGTATGCAAACGTTCCTTGTAGGCAATTTGTGTGCTGCAGTTGTTTCCCTTGTTTT